GTTTGTTGTAAGCCGCCCAGAGTCCCCCGTTGGGGGGGGGTGGGCGGGGACAAGTCTATTAAATAATAAATAAAATAATAAGACCACTCACTGTCTCCTGTTGTCCAGCTAATCAGCCATAAACTAGATGGCAGGGAATAGTTTCGTAACAACAGTACACAATCAGCAGTAGGGAAATAGCCATCCTGATCAGATCCCTCCAAGGAATGGAGATTTAACTTTGCTACTCGGTGATCCATTGGAAGTGTTATGCACTGAAGAGAAATGTATAACTTGGTTCTGGGAGCCTAACAGACTGGACATAGTCTGCTCATATGTATTGCTCGGTCACCTTTTAGGAACAGTTCCCATCCTTGAATATTGCATTCATTCCCTAAGCCAAGGACGAATAGTGCCAACACATGACTTCTTATGCTCAGAAAGAAATTACATTCAGGGAAGTGAGAAAGTCCCACTTGGAAGGGGGCATTTAGGCCACTAATTCACACTATCAGCAAAACTGGGATTTTGACTCCTTTAAGAGGCCCACAGAAATGTACTCCATTCCACCAAAAACAATTTCTTTTTAGCAGCTGCTGTGAATTTTCAAAGACATTCTCAGTTTCAGTGCATTAGTCTTTCTCTGCACTTTCTCTGGTGAACCTCAGGAGAGAAGAAAGCACAACAATCTGAAATAGATGTCTCTGCTATTTGTACAATAAATTAAACAGGCAACCAAGCAGAAGTATTACAAAGCTATTTAGGCAATGCTCATAATACAATAGATGTTACAATCTTAAAGCATACACAGGATGTTTTCCCAACTAATGTTGCTTCATCCAGTTAGATGGTGACTCTAGCTAGAGATCAGAGCCAGATAAACACAGCGAGAGGAATAGATGCAAATTCAGCAAGTGAATTCCTCTGAAGATTTGAGTTTCTTGGGTTGTTGCTTTTATGCTTTTTTCCCAGGCTCTGGTGATCCTGCCCTCTCAGTGCTAACTGGTCCAGAGCTCACGATAAGCTGGCACTTCCGATTTGCTCAGGGTCCTCGAGTTACACTGACTGTTATACTAATTCTGGCTGGTGATTGGCTATCTCTCTCAGGCGATCCAGAACCTAGATCTGGCTCATTCTGATACTGTCCTCAGATCCTTTTCTCTAGCTTGATCCTTGCTGATAATGTAAGGTCCCACCCGGTCTCTATCCGTTCATCCGTCATCTTTGGTGCCTCTGTTGGGCGTTCCAGTAAGCAGTTTACATCATTTTCCCCTCCCAGCTTACTATGTCTCTCAAGGCCTTCTTGCTCACTTACTGAATAAACAAATTATATTACTATGGCCTGTCTGCTTTTATGATGTACTGAAGCCTAAAACAATTTTCAGGTCTCCATTTTTGTTCCAAAATCTCCGTCTTTAATCCTACTTATAAAGTACAGTAATCCCAAGCAGTAATTCATATACTATGCTCAATAGTGTTTCTGACTAACATGGTACAAATGTGTGATTACACTGTGCATATTCCAGGCATGTTGGTGTGTCCCTGCTGCAAACAGCATTAGGACATTGTTACTGAGTGAAATGACTTTAGGGAGGGAGAAAAGCTGCACCTCTCCCCACCCACCATCAGACACAATCACTGGGAAAGAGAACTGCATGTGGGTATATGTATGTACGAATAAATGTCTGAGCATGGTATTGGTGCAACAATGCACTAATGACCCTAATGGAACCCAGTAGGTTGCATAGATAAGTTAAGACAAAGTTGTGTTTTGATAATCCCATGCCAAATTGATCTGGCTCTGGAACAGTAGCCAATAATTATGCAAGAGGAGCATGGAGGAAGTAATGCTCTCTCATTATTTGGCATATCTATCCCTGCCATTTGGTATATCATGCAGGCCATTTTAATTGCTATGACGAGCGAGTTGTTGATAGTCTTATCCTTATACAGTGGTACCTCGGTTCACGAACTTAATTCGTTCCGC